AAATTCTAAGTTCTTGTACGGTAACACAATAGGCCCCTTTAATATATTATATATGTTACTAACTAACGGTAGTAACAACTGTTACTAATGAAAATATATAGATAGATAGATATCCATCAAAAATGCAAAAAAGTTGTCTTCATTTTAGTATAGTATTGAGTTTAAAATTGCATACAATAAATTTTCAACATTCAACATGTTTATATAATATATGTATATACACAGAATATTCAAAATTGTAAATATGTCAAATATAATTCTCAATTATGTAATTCTCAATATAATTCTCAGTTTTTACTATATTAGGCAAAAATTTATAATTCTCATATTGTTTTATTCTAAGTTTCTATAAAAGACTTACGTACCAAAGTTAAATTTGATTTAAGTTTAATATAAATATTTTTATTATTATGTATGATGGGCTATTCTTTGTAAATCGTCCGATTTGAACTTTTGAAAAGTATCTAGTACTTGTATTATAATATATGAATGAAATTGAAAAACTGCCTTAAAATCGATTTAGTATTGTAAATACATTTAATGAAATTATTCAAAAAAAAAAAGTCACAGGAGACAGAAGTCTCGAGATAAATGTCTGCAATCAGAACCAATAAAGCATAATAATACAATTAACTACATATAATATATCATAGTACATATTACTTTTAAACTATATGGTAATTTTTGCGTGGCCCTTTAAATTACTTAATTTTAAAAATATAGAATAAAGCTAGTAAAGATACAACAAAAAGCAGAGTTAACCACGGTTGCCACTTATGGTACTTTAGTACCAAAATTGGTACTTTTTTTTTCGTTTTTTCGTTTTTGGTACTCATGTTTAAAAAATGGTACATTTTTGACGACCCAACTTTATTGTGGATATTTCCAAATAATTTTTTTTATAAATCAACTTTGCACTATTTTATATTTTGTTCATTTGTAACACTATGAAAAACACAAAACGAAAAAATAAAAAGGTCCCAAAAAATTTTGGACCTTTTTTTACAGAAATGGTACCTTTTTAAACCAATTTTGGTACAGGAAAAAATTTTCAAGTGGCAACCGTGGAGTTAACATAAATCCGTACAGAACATACTCATCAATTTTTTTTTAATCTGCTATTATCACAAAAGTAAAATATTTTATTCCAGCAGAGAGAGAGAGAGACGTATATAAATTTTTTTTTTTTTTACTTTTTTAATGTTAATATTTTCTTGCCAAGAGTGACAAGTCCTCGTCTTTATGACGAACAGAAACTAAAAGTTTGACGGATTCAAATAGCAAAAACAAGACAAGAACAAAAATTTATTTAATTTATTGAAATTTGGCAGATGACTACTTGGCAATACTCGGAACTGCGTTGTATGGTCAGCCAAATTTCAATAAATTAAATAAATTTTTGTCCTTGTCTTTTCATTGCTATTCGAATCCGTCTAATCTTTAATTTAATTATTTGTGGATGTGATCTTTCGTGTCCATTGAAATTAGTTGCTTTATTTGAGAATATTGGCTAGCTGTAAGACATTCATCTAAAAGAAATTTCAGATTTTTTAAAATCTAAAAAAAATTTTAGACTTTGTAAAATCTAAAAAGAACTTTGTAGACTTTGGTTTTTAAATCTCTGAATTCTTAAAGGAAATATTCTCTAAGTTTTTGTTTTCTTGCATAATAGATCAATAGCCCTGACTGAATTATTGTCAGTTGTTTGGTTGGATGGTTGCAGTGGCAGGCCATTAGATAACTTCCATGTACCGCCATTAGCGATTTTTTGCCGTTTTGCTACCACATCCCTTGCAAGAACCCTAGTATAGAAGAGTAGAGACTAAATCCATCCCGCCGAATTTAGGTAATTTAATAGGTCTTTCATCTTCTCCGATGAACAGTTTGATAAACTATTAGAGAAGTATCTTCCTAAGAACATATATCTTCTGGACGCCAAAACCGGGCATTCAGAGAATAATCATCAATGTCCTCTAAGTTTTTTTTATTGCACAATAGACCTATATTCCTAACTGAATTATCGTCAATACTCTCTAAATTTATTTTATTGTACAATGGACTAATATTCCTAACTAAATTATCTATCGTCAGTATCGCCGGTATAATCTAACTTAACTTAAAGTTTTTAAGCTTTTCATATTTTATACATAATATTAATTATATTATATACATAATATTAAAATTAAAATTATATATATAAAAAGGGATAAACCTATAGGTTTAAACCTATAGAACTTGTTTATTAGTACTAATCAAAAAAGGACCAAATTTTGATTGTCTAATTTTAATTATACCACAGGGTTGGCATTTTCTTTATCATTGTGATGTGTCACCTGAAGAAATCGCTGCACTCCTATTCCCCTTTTCACAACTCCTCACTTCACACACTCATATATTTCAACATAATTCATAATTTTTTATTGAGTCTTCATGCAGTTGCCGTCGTAGTCGTCCTCGACGTCATAACACAAAATCAAAAAACAAATAAAAACAATAAAAATAAATAAAAAAAATTCGATTGTATTAAATTTGTTATGCAAATTGTTTTTTTGAAACTCAAATCAAAGTTCAAAAGTAAAATCAAAATAATTTAAAAACAAAATAAATTTAAGCACATAAACATTTTGAAAAGCACACAAAGAGTAAGAAAAATGAAAGAAAAAACCTCCAAACACAACAACAAAAAACAACACAAATAATAATGAAATATTATATAGAAAAAGAAAAAAAAAAGTTAATAAAAATCAAGAACAAAAATTAAATCAAATAAAAAAAGTTTTGGCAAATATTTATCAGATGTGAAACAATAAAATAACAACAACTGCAACAACAAAACATAAGTGACATTAAATAAAAGCATAATTATTATGCTTGTGTGTGTGTATGTGTGTTTGATTACACATACAATACGCAAAAATTCGTAAGCATATGTTTGTATGTAACACAACTGCCTTATGTTAAGTATGCACAAAAGGCAGTTTTATTAAAATTAGCATACTTACTTCTTCACTTCACTTATTGTTGTTGTTGTTGTTGTTATTGCTGTGTTTACTGCGCTGGATTGCGCTTACATTACTGCTGCCAACACCATTGCCGCCTGCCTTATTGCATGTGTGTGTGTTTTTCAATTTTAATGCTAATGTGCAAATTGGTACAAAATGGGCGCGGCACATGGTATTATAACAAATACAAGTATAATAATAACAGCTTGAATAGGGGCACACAGCAACAACAACGACAACAACAACAACACTAACGCAAAATATATTACACATAACAATCACAATAAAGGCTTTAACGCCTTTTACACTTTTTCCGCTGCTTTTACTTTCTTCAGCCTTTGCTGACGCTGGCACTGACGCTATTTTTGTTGGTATTCTATTGTTGTTGTTGGTATTGTTGGTGTTGGTGTTGGTATTAGCTGTACAATGTTCACTGTTTTTTGTTGTTTTTGTTGTGTTTTCTGTTATGAATGGACGACCTCAACGGTTTATTACTTCAACTCTTTAAACATATTTTATTTTATTTAATTAGGTAAATGAATGTGTGCACTCATTTGTACAAAAACAATAAAAAAAAAACAAAACAATAAAAACAAAAAAAACAAAAACAATAAAACAAAAGGTAGCATAGGATAACCTTGCCTGGATTTTTGCTTACATATAAAGCGCCTTTTTAATGTGCAATTTAACATTGAATTTTCATTTTAATTAACATTTCTGTATGACGTATGTAAAGCATATGTAAGCATTTTTTTAATCATGAAAATTTTTGCAAAATCGTTATTTGTTGCTATTTTTTATAAAAACTTTTACGTGTTATTGAAATTTTATTTTAGGATTAAAAATGTGTACTGGGAGGTTTCTATTAAAAGTAAAACATATGGGAATACGTATATAATATATATGAGCACATTT